AATGGGAACAAAATAACTTTTGGTTTTTCTTCTTTTCTTTTCTTTTCACAGAGAAGGTATTTTTGTAGAGAGACACTCCATTCCAATACTAGAAGTTTTTTTACAAAAAAAAATCTTGTATTTAGCTAATAAGCCAAATACAACGATCTGTTAGAACAGCTCAGCCAACTTGACATATTTGGAAATTTAGAATAATCAAGAAACCTGTACTGGTAGCAAACAGCCTGCATATGGATAGAAAATGAGTTCAGAAGATATACAAAAATAGAAAAGGGTGTAAGACAAGGATGTGTCTTCTTACCAGACTTATTCAACTTATTCAGCGAGGCAATTAAGAAATAATTAGATGTCATACCAGGATTCATTATTGGTGGTCACAATCTTACCAACATAAGATATGCAGGTGCCACAGTGTTGATAGCAGACATAGAAAGTGATATGTCCCAGAAAGGTAGCAAAGTGGTTTTGGACTACTGTAACCGAGTAGGACAATCTAGCAGGTAACCGTAATGGACTGGTCCTCGTCGTAGTGGTAGGCAATAGGCGTAGCCAATAGGCGTAGTCAATAGGCGTTCCCAATAGGCGTCCTCCTGTACTGCCACATCAGTCTGTATTTATGGCTGACACCAGCCAATCATATTACCGTGAAGGGGAACCCAGGTGTGTGCATATTCATTACATCAGAAAGAAAACTACAAAAGCTCCTACAGAAGGAGCGTGAACGAGACAGAAAGCATGGTGGTTAGTAAAAGAATAAACCAAAACGCAAACTACAAATTGGAAACATCAAAATCAAGCAAGTATAACAATTTATATACCTGGGAGGTGTTTTAACACATGATGGAAAATGCAACATTGAAATCCAATGAAGCATTGGCATAGCCAAGAGTGCATTCCAAAAACTAAGCAAAGTTTTAAGAGACAAAAAAACTTTTGTGAGTAACAAAGAAAAGAGTACTGAACTGTCCTCCTACATGGCAGTGAATACTGGTCAATCTCCTCAAAGATGAAGAGACTTGAAGCATTGGAAATGTATTCTATAGAAGGATGATGAAGAAAAGAGTACTGAAATCTTACATGTTATCTATCCTCCTATATGATAATGAATGCTAGGCAATCTCCTCAGAGATAAAGAAGAGACTAGAAGCAACAGAAATTTGGTTCTATAGAAGGATGTTGTGGTTACCATAGACTGAATATGTATGCATCGACAAGATTTAGAGAAAATGGAAACAAAAAAAAATTATACTTAACATATGGAAGAGATAGTTGAAATTTCTGGGGCACATAATAAGGAAGGAAGGCTTGGAAAATCTGACACTCACAGGACAGACTGAAGACAAGAGGATCAGAAAAAACATTGCATAAAATACTTAGTGAGCTTGAGGAAATAGATGGTGGAATAGGTGTTTAGGAGAAATAGCAAAAAGACAAAAGAGCTACAAAGAACAGGAGATTGTGGAGAGCCATGATCATCTATATCCTGAGGGGACATGGCAAATAAAGTAGAAGTTGTAAAGTTTTATATAAAATTATGATGTTAGCATTAATCATTTTTCACAGTGTTAACACATTAACTGTAGCAGAAATTTTTGTCATATGCAGTTTAGTCATAGAATTGCGATATTAGAAGCAGAGACGTGTTCAGATTTCCTAAGCAACCAGCTTTTTGATCAACTATGAAAACAGAAAATATACAAGATTAGAAATATTAGAGTGTTACAGCTCAGACCAGACACCAAGTTTATTCTCAGAGTACAGCTTCTTCCAGTCAAATGCTTGTGATTTAATATTTAGAAAAATAATTCTCTTACTAGATCATTACCCACAAAACATGCAACAAAATTATAGCAATCGTCAAATCTTATTCTATGGTAACCTTCTATGATAGGTGACCAAGTTATACTGAGGCAAGATGAAGAGGCAAACAGTTTAACTGCTGTGTGCTTCCCTTTTCACATCTGGGCTGAGTGATACTTTCTCATGTGGGCTGCTAGGGACCACTGTCTTATACTGAACAGCATTCTTTGTCCTGTCATTTTTTGTCTAAAAAAAGTCATTAAGTCTGTTCCACTCAGCTGACCCTCTTTGAAAAGTTCAGCTGACATGGTTCTTGTTGGTAGACACACAAGCTGATAGATTAAAATGCATACAAGTGTACCAGAATACAATAGCTGTTCAATCAGTCGTTACATTCTGGTATACTTTTAGTATATCAGTTGGTGTGTCTGCTTAAATTTATATCTTGGTAAGCCTATGAACACTCCAGCCAGCCCTCGTATATGTTATTGCACTATTCTAGCAGTAATGTGTGCATTAATTCCTGACCACTAATAATTCTTTTCATCTTGTTTACAAATGCATTCCTATAGTAAAATCATTAGCAATTCATTTATGTTAAACATATAACAACCCTCGTCTATATTTGACTATTTTCTAAGAGTTGCATGGTTGTCTTTCCATTTGAAGATACTGGAATTTCTTTTCCCAGGCTTTGCAAGCTAAATGATGTTCCTTATTCCTCAAAATTACCTGCGATAAATTAATTGTTGGACTACTATGTGTCTCTCTCACTGTTTTTTTTTACTATTTGTGAGATGACAGTTAACGATTAATTTTAGGACTGTTTTATTGGTAATTTCACTCTATAATTTAATCTTTTAAATTTATCAGTGATCCGATTTGATAAGGGTTGATTGAAAAACTGACCACTTAAGAGGATTTACACCATTTTTTCTTTTTCTCTTTATTTTCATAGTAATTTTTAATATGTCTCTGTTTCTTCTTCCACTAAGAAATGGTTCAAATAATGGCAATTCCTGTCTTCCATAGTTAGTAGGTTAAGTTAACAATACAGATCACTGGAGTTGATTTCATTTAGACTTTCCAAACCAATACACAATTTGATCTTAAAAGCTCTTGAGACCAGAAACTTTTCAGAATTTAGAATTTTCACTTTTAAAATGGTAATACAAGAAAAATTTGAAGGATGCAGTTGACTATGTTTATTCCATTGCTAGCAGTTTACTAAAAGTAAAGCTGAAGGAACATCCAAAAACTATAATAAAAGGTGAGACAAGAAAGGTAGGCATAGCTGATCATTTATAGAAAGAAAAGAGTCTTACTAACCCTTATGAAATGAAGTATAAATACAAGACAGAGAAGAACACTGAAGAATAAGGCATCTGAAGGGATCAAAGCATATAACTATGAGGGTCTACTCGGCTTAGAAATAACTACCATACTGGAGTCATTAATTTTAGCCAAGAACAAAAAGACTTTTGATGTTAGCTTTGTGTCAAGTAGTCTAAAGCCTTTCTTAAGTGTATATAAAGAGACAGCCATTGGGCCAGTGGGAGAGAAGGAACAGCCAGAGAAACCAGCCTAGCGTGTTGCATGAAGAAAAAAGCAGTCATCTGCTTAAGACATTTTTCCGCCCTTCAGAGGGCTGAAGCACAGCTGATTGACGTCCATAACAAGTTTCCAAAGTAATCAAACTCATGACTACTACCATGATCAACTACCCAGCCAAATGAACTTTTGTCAACCTGAATTACAAAGGACTTGCTGCAAATGAAGTAAAATAAATAAACATATATGTAGCTGTCTTGGGATCAGTGCAAAGGGGTTAAGTACTGATAAGGATTTTTTAATTCACTCTGACTAATCATGTAGCAACTGCCATATTTTGGTGGGAAAAACAAAACCAGAATTTCTATCCACTTGCTTAGAAGGCTTAGCAGAACTTATTCCAAGTCTGTAGTCTTGCTTTAGAAAAGAAGCTTGGCAGAACTTGAATTTTGGTTAGACAACGCACAATGTAGTTTGGAACACATCGGTCAACTTACCGTGCTATTCCAGACATTTTTCCTATCAATGTATGCAACATGAAGCATTTGCTCTTTCTTCTTTCAGCATATCACGTTTGTACAGACAAAAATAAATTCACTTTTCTAGCATCAGTCAATTCTTACCATTGTCTTTACCAGAAGAAAATCCTTGGGAGTGGTAACAATATATTATTTGTTTATACTCTTGATTTTGTTCATTTATTTCAAAGTTTCTGAGAAATATTGCTAAGACCCTCTGGTGCATCTCCACAGCTTGACTGGCTTGCATGGGAGGATATGATTAAAAATATAAAAATCTACACTGTAGATTTTCATTGTGTCATAAAAGAATCTGTCTGTCAATATCTTACTAACTGACAACAGAAACATCTCTTCTCTATTTATGAGTTGTGTCTCTTCAGGACATAGACAATCATGACTCTCCACAATTTCCTGTCTCTAAGTAAATTCTGTCTTTCTGTTATTTCTAAACCGTGTTCCACCATCCACTTTCTCCAGCTTGTCAAGTGTGTTATGCTCTGTTTTCCTCTGCCCCCCTTGCCCTCAATCAGTCCTGTGAGCAACAGTTTTTCCAAGCCCTCCTTCCTCAGAAATTTCAACAAAAACATAATACCTCTGTAATTCTGTTTCACTTGACCTTTGCTGACCCTTTATTTTTGTACAAAAAATCATGATTTAGAGCCTCATTTTCCTCCCAAATAGATATGACAGTATAATGTGTGTTTTTATGATCAATTTTTTATGAAAACATAGGGGGTTGCACTATACAGAGATCATTTTTGAAGAGGTTAAAAGTCATGCATTTTTGGTGACTGATTGCCCTATGCACAGGTAAATTTTTTCTAGAGGGGTTTAAATTCATGCAAAAACATTCAGGGGTCATGCAATAAATGAAATCAGCTTATACATGAATATATATGGCAGCTTCCACATTGTGTTCCCCTCCAAAATGGAAAATCTCAGATATGAGCCAATCTTTACAGGCCATTTTTACAGGTTCAGTAGCTGGTAGATATCTGATCCTCATCCATTGTTGCAAATCATTTAGCAAATTGAAAATAAATCTTTTCTGTTTCCTCTCAAGGGCTGCAGAATGAACTTGGGATTTCCTGTTTAACAGATCAGAACACAACTTAATTGCCACATCACATTGAAACACCAATTCCCATATGATCATCAAAGTTAAGCAATGTTGAGCCTGGTTAGCACCTAGATAGGTGACCACTGGGGAATACCAGGTTCTGTAAGCTTGGATGTGCAGCTGGTGTAAGGTATAACAGTTCAGAATTGTTAATCAGAGAGCTGAGATCCAATACCATTTGTGTTCATTATATTCACTTATGCACAAATAACTTGGGAAAAGGTATGAATCCACTTCTTCTCCCCTCAGCTATGGGTTAATTAAGTAAGACTTGTATCACTAAAACCATTATCATCTCTAAAAAAGTAAAATAAAATAAAATAAAATGTACAAAATATTTAGATTTCAGCATTAAATAACCCATAGAGGTGTTGATGTGCTGCTAAACAAAATCAACAGATCAGGAAAATGTATTTCCACCTAAAGGAAAGTTTGGCCATCACAGTACAGACTTCATTGGTATCCTTTGATGTCAAAGACATGATTCTGGCTTTTTTGGAGCTGAATGCCGATTTCCTCAAGCTATAGATTTCCTGCCGTTCTTTATTTCAGCAAAAAATTGCACTTCTGTTGCACATATTTCTCAGGATTCAGTACATTTGTTTAATGGAGCATATCATGAATCTTTCAAAGATTGTCTAGTGAATGTCGACTGGTACAGATGCAAAAGAGGACCCTGATCATCATGTAGACATGTTTATCAGCACTAACCCTTACAATGTAAATCAAGGAGATGTGTGTGTAGGTAGTAAATGCACTGTGGAAGCCTTCTACGTAGAGGGTGGGTAAGTAATAAATGCATTGTGAAAGCCTTCCTGGCAGATGTCCAGGTATGTATATATGCACTGAAAAAGTCTTCACTGTGCAAATCAGACAGATGTTTGTGAAGGCAGTAAATGCAGTGAGAATGGCTTTCAGGTAGATTTGTAGGTAGGTAGCAAATGCACTGAGAAAGATTTTACTACATAAATCAGGCAGATATATGAATAGATAGTAAATGCATTGAATACATATATACACCCTTGTGCAAATTAATTGAAACAAAACAAATAATTCCATTATTATTTACTTTTTTTTCATATTTTTCCAATGAAACATCACCCAGTGCACATGTCAGTACATTGTATGTCCATTCCACAAAGTCATTCCTTGCAGGTTGACCACGGATTCTTGATTGGATTTAAATCAGGAGAGTTTTTGAACCAGTTAATAGTACTTTGATTTGCTCATTGGTAAGGCTTGCCATTGTGTTCATGCGGCATATCAATTTTCATATGCTTCCTTGGAGTAATGTCCATTGCAGACAGTGGCTGTAGGACAACTAATCGGCAGTTAAGAAAATAGTGTCTGGGCTTGATGAAAATCTGATGCAATCACGGATGATGTAATATTTTCAAGGCCAAACAAATTTCATCATTCACCCCAAAAATAGATTCATATTACTGCGCACCACTGCAAATGACCTAATCTGAGGAAAAAATAGAAATTGATTAGTCAATCCAGCCAGTTCGGTGGGTCTAAAACTAACCATATGGCAAAAGAAAGGAAACTAAAGCAGTTGGTACAATTAATTTGCACAAGGGTGTATATTAGAGATATTTGCAGATAGGTAGTAAATGCAATGATAATGACTTTATTATATAAGTCAGGCAGATGTATGTGGAGGTAGCAAATGCACTGTGAAACCTTTTCAAGTACATGTGTTGGTAGGTAGTAAATGAACTGTGTAACTCTTTACTTTGTAAATCAGGTAGATCTGAAATTTGGTTGTAAATGAATTTGAAAAGTCCTTTAATATATAAATCAAGCTTATTTACTGGTAGGTAGTAAATGAAGTGAAAAAGATCTTACAATGTAAATCAAGCAGATGTGCAGGTAAATAGTAAATGTACTGAGAAAGCCTTTATTATGTAAATTAGGTAGATATGCATGTAAGTAATAAATGCACTGTAAATCAGCCAGATGTATGGGTAGGTAGCAAATGAACTGCAAAATTCTTTGCAGGTATGTAGTAAATGAACTGTAAAAGCTTTTATTATATAAATCAGGCAGATTTTCAGGTAGTGCAATAAATATTGTTGTGAGAAATGGAATTAGTAGACCACTAGATCTCCTGTGTTCATTGTTACACTTGATAATGGAATAAATATCTCTTCTTTCTCAAGCTATGAATTAAATAGCATGGTCATGTGGGCTTGAGTGGTAACCAGTCTAAAAGAAGAGAAAATGTCTATTGCAAAATATGGAAAAGGCAATAGGAAAGCATGCCAATATCTTTCCTGAGAATCATGGCAATTCTCAGAGAATAAAGAAAAGGTAACTGTGGATTGCCATATTCAACTAGGTCCTGAAGCAATATGTCACCTAAAACAAAATTTAAATTAGCGTTTCCAAACACTTTCTGCACCTCCCATTGAAGGAAGGGGTCATTTAGAAGCATGATTGAGAGAGTGGCTGAATTTGTCTGTGATGTGAAGTTGAGTGGAGAACAACAGATTTGTTTATATTTCATGAAATATTTTAATGTTTTTCTTCATTATTAATTTGGCACACCTATTTACTCTTGCCTTAATAGTATATTTAATCAGTTCAATAAGGTTAAGTTGGTATCTGATCTAAAAAATGATCTAAAAAATATGTTGTTAAATGGGGCAAGAAATGGCTTGCTAATTTTAAAACTACCAAAACAAATCTGCTCTCTTTTAATCATCTAAGAGAACCCTTTTTGCTTCCCATCAGCACGGTTGACACTAAACTGCAGGAGAATGACTCATTGCACCTTCTTGGTCAAAAGTTTTCTGCTGAAAAAGAAATGAAAAGATTATATTGAATCAATGGATAAGTCTGCAGCTAAGAAAGTTGGTTCAATGTATTGCTAGACAATTTTTATTGCCAGAATATATCTTAAACACTTATAAGGTTACTATTCGTCCATGCATTGAATATTGTTTCCACATCTGGTCTGGTGCTCTTGCTATATATTTAGAGATTCTCTATAAAATCCAAAGATGAATCTGTATTGTTATTCACCTTAAACTGGTATCTCAGCTTCAGTCACTTTGTTATTGCTGTAATGTAGATTCCCTGTGTCTTTTCTATAAATACTTTCATGGTAATTGTTCTGATGAACTTTCCTCGATGGTAATTTAAGAACAGTACTAGATTGGTGGCAAGTTCACATCATTTTACAGTTGAAATGGCAAGATATAACCATAAGTTAACAGTTTCTTCTCTCGCACTTCTTATTTGTGGAACACACTTCCATCTTCTTGCTTTCCATTAAACTTTGATGTTCAAAAATTTAAATGCAATGTCAATTGTTATCTTCTGTATTCTTAATTCATGTCTTTTTATTGTTTAATAATTGTAATAATGTCTTCTTTTTCTTTTCTCATATTTTTCCCATTCAGTAAACAAGTAAGAAGATTTACTGACTTTATTGCCTTGCTTGGAACCAAATGATAAAAAAAGAATGAAATGATAAATGAGATATTGTGTCAATCACCACCCCCACCAATGAATATATATATATATATATATATATATATATATAGATAGATAGATAGATAGATAGATAGATATACAATAGATATATGGCAATTGCTCTGACAAGATTTTCCTTGGTACCCCAGTTGCATGAATTTAAGCATGCCACTCAATCGGCAGATACCAATTGAGTGGCATGCTTAAATTTCCATCTATTTACTGTTGAAATAGCTAAATATTTTTCTCTTCTCACAATTCCTGCATGTGTGGAGCTCACTTTCATTTGCTTGCTTCCCTGATAACTACAATCTTCAAAAATTTAAATGCAGTATCAATCACCATCTTCTAAATTCTTGAATCATGTTCATATTTTGTCCTTTCTTCAATCCTTCCGATACCTAGTCTTTTCTTTTACTTTCACTCCCTGTAACCCGCTGTGTAATTTCTCTCTTGCTTGGGGTGAAATGATTAAAAAAAAAATATATATATATATATATATAATTATATACTAAAGAGAAATAAAAACCATCTGGTGAAAGCAACAGACAACATGCCAAAACCTAAAACTCTTACCCAGATACAGTCTTGAATAAAAAAGACTAAACTGAAAAAATAAAGAGAAAAAAGGCCTAAAAGCAAACTTACCTAACCAGTAAAGTTCTTGAAGCCTAGATTGCCTAGATTGAGCAGAAAATGCTTAGCAACATTAAATCCTATGAAAGATATATATATATATATATATATATATATATATATATATATATATATATAAAATTGATATATAGAAATTCACAGGAAATAATTTTATATTAGAACTCCATTAAATTGTATCCATTGGGTGTACTTGTAAACTGTCGTTTACCAGTTCCTTAAACCTATTATTCTGTTATGGTACATATATATACTTGTAAAAACCTGCAATCCTTTTGTCTTATAAATATTTAACTGCATTACTTTGAAAGGTGCCCTCTACATGGTTTCTTCAACATAAATTCAATTAAGCATGAATTAATCAATTAAATTATATAATTAAATTATTTTTCTGATACTTATCTGTTGCATGTCACAAGGAATAGAAAAGTGTATTTTTCAATCAAAGTTGATTTTTTCAAGAATAAAAAAAGTAATTTCTCTTCTTGTGAACTAGCGATGCTTGTTTATATTAAAAGCTTATAAACCAATTAAATGCCTAATATTTATGCTCTGACATGAATTTACATTACTCTGGTAGTGAATTGTATAGTAAATCAGATCAATTTGGAGATGATAATGATGGGAGTGAAAACAAATTGCTCTAGTGTGGTTGATGAGATGTTTTTTTTAAGCATTTCACCCCAAGCAAGTGCCACTAGCATGCAAGGGGTTTCAGAGGGTAAGAGCAAGAGTTAAGAGGCGTGTTTGAGGACAGGATAAGGAGAAGGACAGGGAACAAGATCAAAGCATCGATTGACATTACATTTGAATATTAAGTAAGAGGAAGGGAGTTCCACAGACGGAAAGTGTGAGAGAAGAAGCTGTTGGAGTAGAAGAGATGGCTACATTTAACCATTTCAACAGTGAAAGGGTGGGACAGAGATGCCAACCTAGTAGTATGCTTAAATTCATGCAGTCTGGGAACCAT